GGTTTAAAATTACAAGAACATATTTTGTCCAAAGTACGAGATTTTCCTAATACTCTTGAAAATATAACACAATTACAGAGTCTATTAGGCATTTTAAATTATGGACGAAATTTTATTAAAAAATTTTCAAAAATAGAAATTCCTTAGTTAACCAAATTAAGGAAAAATGTTATTTTTGAATGGACAGCAGAAGATGTTGCTTTAATTAAACAAATTAAAGAAAATGTTAAAACTTTACCAGATGTTTATCTTCCTAAAACAGGTGATAAATTAATTTTAGAAACAGATGCCTCAGAAGCATGCTGGGGATGTGTTCTTAAAGCAATACCAAGTAATTTATGGTATGATAAAGAGATACCTTTATTAGAAAATGGGATTAGACCAAGAAAAAATCCAATACTAATAAAATTACAAAAAGAAGAGTTAATTTGTAGATATAATTCTAGAACATTTAAACCAAATGAACAGAAATATATTATTTTCAAAAAAGAATTACTTACAATAAAATTGGCAATAAAGAGTTTTCATATTTATTTAGCCCTAGAAAATTTTATTGTACGCACTGATAATAAGGCAGTAAGAGATTTCTTGATCAATAAAAATCTTATTGAACAAGGAAGAAGATTAGCCTGATATAATAAAATTTCTGAATGTACTTTTGAAGTAGAACATCTTAAAGGTACTAATAATTTTCTTACAGATTTTCTTAGCAGAAATTGTTTTAGAAAATTAAATTGCTAAACAAGTAAATTTAATTTTTGTAGAAGACCTCTAGACCAAGAGGAAACAATGGATAAGGGTAAACAACCCGCTCAAGGAGATTGGGTGACAATTGCTAAAAAAGCAAACCCCAAAGAAGAAAAAGTTTATGTTGTGTTTGCAGGAAAACAACCTGGAATTTACACAGAATGGAATGATTGCAAAATACAAGTTTGTGGATATTCAGGAGCGAGCTATAAAAGCATATGATAGCATGACCAAAGCTAAAAAAGTTTTTTTACAGTTCACCAGCTATGCCTGTTTATCAAAAGAATTTTTGTCAAATGAGAGCTAACCCAGTTCCAACTAATATTCAGACATCTAAACTAGATGAGTCTAAAATAAAAGATTTTTTCAATCCTGGTATATCCAGAGAAATTTATACAGAACTCAATGGAGTTTGGAAAACTCATATTGTAGACAACAAAGTGAAATTTCGAAAACACATGAGAGTTTTGGCCAACAAATTAGCTGAGCAAACAGCTAAATTAAAAGATTTGTAAAATCTTTGTTTCAATATTCTTAAACAAATGAATTGGAATGAAGATTTTAATTTTGAAAAAATAAACAATTTTCTTCAACTATTAGACCTCATATCAGATGAGTTTTCTGATCCAGTTTTTGAACAAATAAAAAGAATTTGTCTTTTTGAAAAAGCAAGAACTTTGCTTCTAAAAGAATTTTTTATGTTAATAAAAAATCAGGTTGAAGATCGTCATGATAAGATTAGACAAATCTTAGAACGATCTTATGATAAATTAAATTTGAAAGATGAAATTCTCAAAATAACCATCATGGCAAACCATGACATGTGGTTTTTTGAGGATATAGATTGGGGAATAACTAATCAAGTTATTTTCTAAATTTTAGATCCAATTCAATGGATAGATTATCCAATGATCATCAAAACAATACTCTCATGGATAGTAAAAGGCTTTCGATGGAGCAAATATTTTACTTTTTGGATCTCCAGTACTGTTGGTTGGCGAGAACGAGAACACTTTTTCCAACCATACCAAATTTGATATCTTAAAGAAACTGAAGATTTTGAATTTGAAGATGATTATTTAGATGAAGATCACCGGAGAGAGCGATTGGAAAATATCCAAAAAATTTCTTTAACAGAATATTGGATAAACAGTCTAATATCTGTTTCATAAGCAGCGTCCAACATCCATGGCTCAGCAAAATTGCCATTCATGGTTACAGATGGAAGAATATTATTTGTAACCCATTTTCCCATAACATATCAAAAGTCTCCAACGCAAATTAATGAGGCTCTTGACATGTTAATAAATCTCAAAAAGAGAAATAATTTGGATCTTCCGTCAGAACTAGCCATGACCGCGGATGATGTAGAACATTTTCGGAATGAGCAATACAGTCAAGATCCAGATTTCCCTCCATCAGAGACTGATGAAGAATATCACAATCTCATCAACAGGATGGAAGCATAGTGGACCCCACTATCAAATGCAGCTGTCTCCTGATCGACTCCAACCTTATCCAGGACATGTGGAGCAATCTGCATTATTTGGAGGAAAATGATCAGCCACATCCTTTCAACCGACGCTACACGACAAATCAGCTCAGCCAAAGCTTACCTACAACAGTCTATCTCTTTGAAAACCGGGGAAGGTAGACAGTGTGTATCAGTGTATATAATTGAAAAAGCTGTAGCAAAGAGCAAATAATTGTAGTCCTTTTGTATTTATTTTTGTCTCTTTGTATTTACTTTTAGGTAGATTTTTCAAAAAGCTTATGACTAGGCTTGCCTAAAGAGTTAGAAAAATTGGCAACTTTTAAGACGTAAAGTCTTACAAAGTTAGATAGGTTAGATATGAAGTTAGATATGCAATAAGTTATATTTTGTTTGTATTCCCCTCTTGTAAGTCTATATATTGGCCTTTATGCTAACATAATGAAGCATGTAAATTCCCTTCAACTTCTCTCCATCTTTTTGCTTTCTTCTTTGTCTCTAAGTTCTCTATCATAATTCCTTATTCTATAACTCCACCATAATTCCATAAGTAAAAAGCTCATTTCCTTTGTGGAGTGATGATGATGCTAATATAGAAATTTTGTACAATAATAATATTATATATTTAAAATTTTTACTCAAAAATATTAATATGTAATTTAGATTTAGGCCTAGTTTGGGGTGTCTTAAAAAAGTTAAAAAGTGAAAAAGTTATTATCTTATTTAAGTCATATCATTTTATTTAAGTCACATCACTTCTCTATTACACTACTTCAAACCTAGCCCATATTTTATAAAAAAATCAAAATGTATACTTATTTAGAACATTCCAAACAACCCCTTATTATAAGTCCCAATCACCACCACACATTAAAAACAAATTTGGATTCAATTAATGGGTTTCTCAAACTTATACTATTCAGCTTGTTTGGCTCTGGTTTTCAAAAAATAATTTTTAGAAAATTTTATTTTTTTATTTTTCATATTTTAATATTTTCAATGAATTTTTTTAACATTTTAAGCAATTTTTTTTTTTTAATTTTTAGACACATCTAACATAAATACACTTAACAAGTATAATATTTGTGAAATTTTTTTTAGAAAATACACTGAATGCTAATAATACAAAAAAATATAAAAATTCAATATATTTTTCGTATTTTTATGTATTTATTAATTTTTTAAAATATTTTTTTAGAAATATTTTACTATTTAGATACATCTAAGTAAGGTATATCTAAAAAAATAAAAGAATTGCTTAAAATTTTTAAAATATTCATTAAAAACAAAACAAATACGAAAAATAAAAAAACTAAATTTTCAAAAAATTATAACCAAACACACTGCTTATTTTTATAAATTGAGACATAAATACGAGACAAAAGACAAATCTTATATGTAAGATTTAAGACTCATCTTTCACCTCACATGCGTTTAAATTTACCCATTCTTTTGGCCATCTATCCCTTTTTTGATTCTTTGCTTAAATAGTAGTTCTATTATATTCACCCAAAAAAAAGTAGTTCTATGATATCACGTGGCAAGTGGGTTTTTCTCAATTCTAGGCACAAGAATGCTCATATTCCAGGGAATCAATTCTAGGAATCCATGGAAACCTTTCCAAGGGAACTAGTTTTCTTTCTATTTTTATTCTTCTCTTATTTTATGTTTAGACTATAAATTAAATAGAGATTTGACGAAAAAAATGGAAATTTTTTTAATTTATATTTCATTCATGTTTGACTCATATATATATATATATATATATATTTAAATTTATAATTCAAAACACAATCTTTAATTACTTGTTTTTTCCTTACTATTTCTTAGATTCATTGACCCAATTCAATTTAGTGAAGTTTTTAAACGTTTTATAAAACTCTTGGTATTTCACCATGTACGAGAATTCCAGCTAAGCATCCATAGTTGAATGGTTAAAACCACCAAGGATCCTCTAGAGTGAAATTTTACTAAAATTTCTTAGAGTGCTATATTGTGTTGTTGAGATTTACTGGTAAGTCATATCAGAAAAATTGATGTGACTTGCCAGTAAATCTCAACCACACAATGTAGCACTCTAGAAAACTTTAGGAAAAAATCACTCTAGAGGATCCTTGCTCGGTTAAAACACCTAACTCATAATTGACAAATTCTTATGTTCAATTCCTACTAAATACATGTCAATAGGACCCTCTAATAATTTTATTGGAATTGACTTTGTATTGGATTGTTTGAGAATATATTATTTTAGTAACTTTTTATTTTTAATGAAAAGATATACCATATGATAAATAGGTGATGTAACTTAAATTGAATAAAAATATAATAAATATAATTTTAAAGGAATTTGCCAAACAACCCTTCTGAATCTCATATTATCATAACTTCATTATACTACAATCCAAAACACATAATTTCAATTTAGAATTTCATAATTTTATTTTCCAATATAATTTGAGAAATTATGAAATTATTTGAGATGATTTAAATAAATATATTTTTTAATTTTTTATCAAAAATATATATAAAAAAAATAAAGAGATAATATGATCAAAATAAGTACATTTATTTAAATAATTGCCCTTATACCAATCGTGCCAAATAACCCCTAGAAAAAACTTACTAGGGGTTTTTTTTTTTCCATAAAAGAAAAGAGAAAAATAGTGGCAAATTCGGTATTTTGGAGGGAAAAAGAGGTTGTTTTGGTAAATTGGGATTAGTTAAGCTGATTCAGTCCAAGTGGTTGTTTCTTGTCTTCCTCGTTACTGTTCGTTTTCTCTCTATCTCTACTAACCGACCTCAACAAGAACCAGAGAGCTCACACCAATCCACAGAGCGAGCGAACGAGAGAGAGAGAGAGAGAGAGAGAGAGCGAGATCTAGAGAGAGAAACACAGAGATCTAGAGAGAGAAAGTAGAGAGAGAAATGCGGGAACCGGCGACGCAAGAGGTGGTGATGAGCAGCAACAACAACAACAACGCATCATCTTCACCACCACAAGCTCTACTGGAGAGGCTCAAGGACTATGGCCAAGAAGACGCTTTTGCCCTCTGGGACGGCCTTTCTCCCGAAGAACGCGACCTTCTCGTCAAGGACATCGAGGTCAATTTACTCACCTTGTAGATCTCTCATTTTCAATCTCTCCGCTTCCAATTTTGCATTTTAATCCAATTTTCATATTCAACAGATTGCTTTGCTTCTCTAGTTATTCAATTTTCTGTTTTTTGATTTTGTTTCGCGATTTGAATCTGATTTTGTGTTTCAGAGCTTGGATCTTCCGAGGATCGATAGGATCATCCGCTGTTCATTTAAATCTCAAGGTCTCTTTCTCCTCCCCCTCTCTCTCTCTCTATATATATATATATATGCGTTTGCAATTTTAGATTTCAATTTTTTGATTGTTTGATGATTGAGGGACAGTTTGATGAAGTAGTTTTGGATAATAAATGAATAAGAAAACCCGTTTAGCAATTATTGTATGATGTGAAGGGTATTGTTGGAAAAAAAAAAGTGATAGCGTTCTCACCAAATGAGGTGTAGGCTTTATATAATATAGTATTGATCAGCTAAAAAAAGTTGCTTTTTGGCTAAATAAGCAACTTTTTTAGCAATTCTCAAACAAATTTTAAAAAATTGACTAAAAAAGCCAATGCCAACCTCCGTAGAGTGATGGTTTTGGTGTGTGAAAGTGCTTGCATTTTTAAAATTTTCAGGGCTTCCGGTTGCTGCCATTGAGCCGGTGCCGGAGGGTAGTGTGTCCACAGTTGAGGAGAGGAAGATTGAAGAGAGAGAGAAATGGTGGAAGATGGGCATGAAGGCTATCTCAGAAGGGAAGTTGGCTGTGTTGCTTCTGTCTGGTGGCCAGGTATTGTCTTATTTGTTTAGTAATTGAAGTGGTACACTTGATTGGTGTGGCTTTGTACAAAGTACTTACTTTTAGTTTACCCAGTGGAATTATTTACAACACTGAAAAAAAACAAGAAGAGAAAATAATGTTTAATTGGTTTATAAATTATATGGATGAATAGTCCCTCTCTCTCTTTTTCTCTCTCTCTGAGTCTGTTATGATGTTGCTTTCTGGGCAGTCCTTTCATAGTAATTTGGTGATGGATATGTTCACCTAACGGAAGAAGAATATGACTTTGTTAATGATCTACGAATAGTGAATTCAAACCAACAATATGCTTTAATGGGAATAGCATATTTCAGATTCCTATTCTTTGAACCCATTCTAGAGTGGCTTTGGAAGATCACACCAGGGCCAAAACAACATGATCAACCCAGATCCAATGTCTGCCTTTCTTGACAGATCACTGTGCATATATAACTAATATGATAGTAACTGTCAAAGCTACTATATTTTGTCAGGGTATGTTGGTTACTCCATTTCGAGCATAATAATTCATTCGTTGTTATTTAGATCTGTTTACAACTCATATATAAATGATGATAATGATGTACGAACAAGGAGTCTATACCAACAGTATACTTCAATGGAATAACATATTTCAGATTCCTATTCTCGAACCAATTCTAGAATAATATATATATATAAAGCTGTTAGTGCTGATACATGATAGTGTTACAAGGGAATATTGTGTTATTTGCAGCACTGGAAGATCACATCCATGCCAAAATAGCATGATCAACCTAAATCCAAATAGTTGGACAGATCAGTGTGTAAATAACTAATACGATAGTAATTGTCAAAAACTAACATATTTGTAGATAATTCATTTTTTCTTATTTTGTTTTTTTGTTTTTGTTTTTTGTATCACAACTCATATATATGAAAATAATTATGTGATCATAACATTTATAGAATAGAAGGGGGAAAAGTCACCAATTTTAGCAACTGCCCGAGTCTCATTTTGTTAATACTGTATGCAGTTCTTACTCAGAAAATAAATTCTTATGTAAGGTTAATTCTCAACAAACATCAGTCGACAAATCACTCGACGTTCAAGAATTTCCCATGGACTTGAAATAGAATATGGATCTAGTGGTAATTTCTGTGTGCAAACATATAAAACTTTTGAGGTCCTTTTTCCAATCATGTGTTTCGGTACGTACATGAATTGTGAAAGGACAAGCTCTACATCCATCAATAAAGAAGTTATTTCAATTTGGTTTTTTTGGACTAAACCCAAAAGGGAAGATGATATATCCTTCTTGAAATTATACGTCGATAATTCTAGGTTTGAGATAGTCAAAGGCATGTGGTATGGTATTATGGGATGTGGGAAGTTTGTGAAATCAATTTCAAGACCTGATTGATATGCATTTGAAGCTATTATTGCTTTGCCAAAACACTTCTGAGTTTGTTATGTTTGTCTTCTCTTATATCATATTTGCTTGCTCTACCATCAAGTTGTAAGATGTTATCGAATTCTTTCTATGTAGCTTCTTTAGGTGGTTCTTAGACATGCTTTCTCCTGATTGAATTCTTAATGCAGGGAACTCGGCTGGGAAGTTCAGATCCAAAGGGATGTTTTAGTGAGTATCATCATTTCAATTGATACCCAAGCAATTTTTACTGCCATTCAAAGTTAATTGTCTGATATTACATCGTGTTCACTTGATATCCAAACAATTTAGTGCAACCAAACGTTGCCTGATATTACTCATCTTAAAGGGGCTAGATGTTGTTGAGTTTAGAGACATAGGCAGTGTTACTTGTGGAGTTGACATGATTGATTGATAGATATATTTGTGTGTGTATTTGTTGCATCTCCTCTTGGTAAGGAAGCTTTCAAGAGATAAAAGTATTTTTCTGTTGCTACAAACATTATTGCTCTTTTTACCTCAATCCTTTCTCCCATCCAATTGGTTTCATCAACCAATTTATCTCTGTTGGACATAATTTGAATGATTGAAAAAATTTGTTTCTTCACAATTTGAAATTCATGAATATTTGGAAATATCCACATTGGAAAAGAAAACAAATGGTATGCCTTACACATTATGGTGCATCCATTACAATAAATATTGTGTAAAAGATATAGATTGCATATATCTTGTCTTATATTTTCTTTTTGTCTCTTGCAAAAGTCCTAACATACAATATTTTGAACATTGTATCACCCAGATCATATATCAGCACATTTCATCCTCCATGAGAAGAACATTATTTACAGTTGATTTTTTCTGGATGCCGAAAGTTTATAATGTGGTTTTATTTGCCATTGTGGATGCTTTTACGTCAAAGAATCCCGTTTCCTTCTTTTCTATAGTTGGTAAAGATTCTAATTTTATATGATCATATTCTTTTTTCTCTTCACTTCAGATATTGGACTCCCATCTGGAAAGTCACTTTTTCAAGTTCAAGCTGAGCGAATTTTGTGTGTGCAAAAATTAGCGGCTCAATCTGTAAATGAAGGTGAGATTCATCTCCTAGGTTCTGTAGTTCATAGTGGTTGACTAGTAGCCATCCTAATTTTTCTGTTATATGCAGCTGGTTTTGTGCCAATACATTGGTACATAATGACTAGCCCATTTACTGATGATGCCACACGCAAATTCTTTGAAAGCCATAAATATTTTGGCCTTGAAGCTGATCAAGTAAGATGCATCCATTTCCTGTACTTTTGACCTAGTTCTTGAATTTTTGTTTTGCGTACCTTTCAGAGACATTCTTTCCATGCAGATCACCTTCTTCCAACAGGGCACTATACCTTGTGTGTCAAAAGATGGTAGAATTATAATGGAGTCCCCATACAAAGTAAGTTTGCTCTTGTTTTCTGGGGATTTTTGTTTTTGTTACTATTAAGTATCTTTATATCTTCATTGTATTTAGAAGAGTCTATGTATTTAATGAATGCTTTCTTTTGTGACCTGCCGGAGCTATTGCTTTGCATGATCATCTGGACTTAGCTTTCCTTCTATTCTTTGTATTACTAATAACCACTTTAGCTTGCAACATGGGTACCTCATAACGTAGGTTACTGTTTTCTGGAACAACCTTCTGACATGACTGGTATCTTCTCCCTCATTATGGGAAGGTGTAGGATATGAATCCCCGAGGGTAATTGGTTTTAACATTGTTTTGCATCTCATTTCTTCTGGGATGAAGGGGGTTGGGACAATTCTAGCCTTTAGCAGGCACTGCGGGGAAAATACAGTTTCAAGAAAACTTGCTTTTGGTCTGTGTAGGTCTGATAGAAGTAGTTGTGTTTGATTTTTTTCATTTTCTTTTTTGGGATTGTTTCGAAGATAAAATAATTTTTTTTTCCTGCGAAAATCTTTCTGATATGCTTAGAAACCTTGTGGTACCAAGACATTCAAAACCTTCTGCAACATTATATTAATATGCAATACGCAACATTACAAATTGAAAGAGCATACATTTGTTCTCATTTTTTTCTTTTTATTTTATGCTATTTATTTGCTTAAAAGACAGAATAAGAGCAGTAGAGCACACAATGTTGTGTAAAAGAAAAATGCTTCCCATTCTTTAGGTGTCTGCTAACGGCTTTTGTCTTTCATTTTTGTGATTACTCTCAGTCTTTTCTGCATAGAAAACCTTTGGCCCCATAACACTGATATGATTTAACATAAAATTGACTGAAAATTGAACTGGTTCTCTCTCTCTCTCTCTCTCTCTCTCTCCAAGTAAAAAATAATTATTTTCATTCGTGCTTCTCTGTTCTGGTATTTTTTGTTTACTTAAAGGGCATGTATAATAACTTTCACTTCTGAAGAAAATATTTTGGCTCTTGTGGGTGTTTGAAAGAATTGATTGCATTGTAGTTCGACAATTTCCGTGCTATTATTTACTGTAGAGGATATTTTTTTATTTTATTTTATTTTATTTTATAAATTGTCTTCATTTTTATTTGTTTTATTAATTTGATATGTGTGATACACATTTATATAGTAGTTACATGAATCTACTTCCTTAAAGCCAGGTAGCAAAGGCTCCAGATGGAAATGGAGGAGTTTATTCAGGTACTTACTAAAACAATGTCATGCATGCATTGTAACTGCTGTACATAGTTGCTTTGTAATTTTATCGTCTTATTGTTTAAAGTTGAACTACTAATTGGGTTTTTGAACTCCACATCAATGGAACAGCTTTGAAATATTCAAGACTATTGGAAGATATGGCTACAAGGGGGGTTAAATATTTGGACTGCTATGGAGTTGATAATGCATTGGTGAGTTTCTTCTCTTTCACTTTGATTAATGCCAATTGAATTGTTTTAGCGACTTATCCTATTCTTAGATGTAGTGATTAGTGTCTTGAAAGCAGGTCCGTGTTGCTGATCCGACTTTCTTGGGCTATTTTATTGACAAAGGTGTAGCTGCCGCTGCAAAAGTGGTCCGGAAGGTGAGATTTAAAGGAGACGACCTGGAATTTACTTCTTGCTAAAATGCAGTTTTCCAAAAATACCAGTTAACGTTTCAAACTCCAAGCATTGAAGGTTAATATGATGAAGCATCAAAACTTAACAACTACACGTGATGTGAATGGCTAATTATAATTGCACGATGTTTATATTCAGTACTCTGTTGGAGTTGATTTTGGGCTTGATCATTTACTTATTCTGTTGTAAGTTTATATCTTCAGTACAAAAATTAAGAAGCCGTTGACATTTCAAATCTCTTGATTAACTGAATGCAGGCATACCCGCAAGAAAAGGTTGGTGTGTTTGTCCGGCGGGGCAAAGGTGGACCTCTATCTGTAGTTGAATACAGTGAGTTGGATCAATCGCTGGCTAGTGCAATAAATCAAGAAACTGGTCGACTTCGGTTTTGTTGGAGTAATGTATGGTTCTTTGTGACCTGCTCAGTCTAATTTTGCATTTTCTTAACGTGATCATGTTCTTCTTGTAAATTTAGATTAACAATAATTTTTTAACCCAACTGCATGAAGATGGCCTTATGGAGACAATTTTCTGCTTTAAATTTTTTCCAGTTCTGCTGAATGATGGTGTTAAATGTTAACATATTGGTCATTGTTATTATTTCTAACTGCATTATTATTATTTCTTGGTGCTTTCATGTTTTTCAGGTGTGCTTACATATGTTTACTTTGGATTTCCTGAACCAAGTAGCAAATGGTCTTGAGAAAGACAGCATGTGAGTACTGTTATCTTTCTAATTATATTTTTTCCTCCACCTCTTCTTTAGATTTGATGTAATCAAATTCGTTGTCACTCCAACAATATGACTTCTAGTTTATGGAAAAGAATTACTAATATACTGTCTGTAATGTCACTAACTTCTCGATACATAAATGTAGAATGAATGATCACTATCTAGCACGTATATTGTTCTAAAGATTTTGATAGTTGCATCATGAAGAACTTAGTTGCAATAAAATAAGTCATTATCTACAGATTCCTTATTTCCAATCGTCATTTGTAATAAATCTCTAGCTTGAATTTAATATTCTTCTTGATGTCATAAACAATCTCTTCTGTTCATGTTTTTTGTATTTATTTTTCTTTTTCTTATACACTACTTGAATCTTTCAATACATTTTTTTTCTTTTCCAAATAATAACAGTTGATGTTAAATAGTATGACAATGATACTGCTAAACATTTGAGGTTTTTAATCCATCAGCACTTCCATTTTCGTATAAAATTGAATCATCTGCTCAAAGAAGATGGAGATAGATGAATAATGGGTTACTATTAGTGCGATGGTCTTTGTTCGAAATTGGCCTTTGGTCTTTTGTCACCACCTCATTTATTTCCTCCTGGCTTTTCATTTTCCTGTGTCTACTACTCCAATAATATGCTGCTGCTTCACACATTGAGTCATCAATCTACCATAGATGACCAATAAAACTTGTCTGTCAGGACTATGTTTTGATTTAATGGAATAATTTGAGCTTATCTAGTATCATGAATGTTATTTTACAAGGGAAAGGACTAGTTTTAAAGCAGAATTTCTGTTGTGAAATTCAGTGCCTTATTGGAGAGGATAAATTGTTCATGGAGGGTTAAAAGTTCGGTAGTTGATTTCTTTGGCATTGTTGTTGGTTTTCTGCGTTGTTGATTCTGTTCCTGTTTGCTTTCTGAGTATTCTCCTATTTTACTTTGTTCCATGCCCAATAATTATTTTATTTTCATTCTCTTTATCTAAACATTTTTTAATTGTTAAGTCAATTTTCAGACATTGATCTAAAAACCCATGCAATGTTTGTGCAGTTATCATCTTGCAGAGAAGAAAATCCCTTCAATCCATGGACAGACGCTGGGATACAAATTAGAGCAATTCATTTTTGATGCATTTCCGTATGCACCTTCCACTGCCCTTTTTGAGGTGGTTTTCTTTCTTTCTTTCTTTTTTATTTGATCAAATATATTTATTTTTTTCGGTGACTCATCATGCTACTTAGGAACAATACAGACTTAACTATATGAACTTTGGATCTGTCTAAATATTTTAAACATTTAGGTATTGCGTGAAGAAGAATTTGCACCAGTGAAAAATGCGAACGGATCAAATTTTGACACTCCAGAGAGCGCTCGGCTGCTTGTTCTCCGTCTCCACACTCGTTGGGTGGTTGCTGCAGGAGGTTTCTTAACACATTCGGTGCCACTATATGCAACTGGTAATGTTTCTTATTTTTCTATGCATATTATATTAAGAATGAGTAAGGACTGTATTGTTGGAAGGACTTGACTAAAAATGTTTAGAATCCGGGGACATAACAAAAAGAGCTTATTATACTCACTTTCTAACCGCACCCCCTTCAAAAATACAAAATTCTCATTTTATTTCCTTACACTCCCCATAATTTTAACATGATACGTCCTTCTAATTTAGGAGCTCTAAAAAAGCACTAACAATGTGGAAAATCAAAAAAAAGAAAAAAAAATCGAAGTCAAAACATCGCATCTCATGGAACCCACACACCAATAAGAGCTATTAGAGCGAGCTCCCAATCTTTTTTTCTAATTTTAAACATGCCCTCATCTTTAACCTCCTATCTTCTCTCTACACCCCAAATCTTTCAAATCCTAACTCTACATCCACCCCAACCTCCACGTTCAACCGCCACAGCCACCACCTCCTCCACCTCCCAGCCCTGCGACTACCCCTGCAGCTTTCCCCATCCTGAGAGAGAGAGAGAGAGAGAGAGATCTAAGGGATTTCAGAAGGGTTGGTTAGACGACGATAAGGGAGAGAGGGCTGGGGCGGCAGTGGATAGGGGTGACAGGGAGGGGAGGGTTGGCGGCGGTGGACTGCAATGGTAGTGGTGGTGGTTGTCTGGTGGAGAAGGTGGGGAAGGGGTAGGTGGTGTAATAGAAGCACCCTTTAAACCCAGAGAGGCGAGTGACGTGTGGGTTTCAGTTCGATTCAAACAAATGGGCAATACCTGTCGAGCCTGTTAGGTGTTCTTAAACCAGTTCTTGTTTTACTGTTCAGATATGGTCTAGTTGGAAATTGATTTGTGCAGTCATTCAATTCCAACTCGGCTGGATTTCAAGATTATTTAAACTAAGGATTACAGAACCAAATCGGTCTCTGTAACTGTCTCATCTGATATGGATTTTAAAATATTGAAAAAGAGACCAAATTAAAGAGTAACACGCAAAACTTTGGAAAAGATTCTCTTCCGAAATCAGTCATTATTTTGCCTCGATCGAATATTTTGTATTTGTGTTAATGGATTGGTGTCTCTTACCTTGAGCGTAGGTGTGGAGGTTTCACCATTGTGTTCTTACGCTGGAGAAAATCTAGAAGCTATTTGCCGTGGAAGAACATTTCATGCACCTTGTGAAATCGCGTTTTAGTTTTAAGTTTGTGTTAATGAATATCTTCATTTGAGCGGCTATATTTTGGTTTGAATTTATTTGAATTTGAGGTCTGTAAATCTTATACCACTACAAATGCTGATATGTTTACAAGGCTTTTTGGCTTATATTTTTAGCTACAAATGGCGGAATAAATTTTTAATATATTATTTGCCAATTTGCTTATTACTCCTATCAACTGAGAGTCAAGTCTAAGGTGCTTCCTTGAAAGCCTCCTTTGTTTGGGTGTGTTTTGTAGGGATACGTGAGTAATTCATTTATAATGATGCTTCTAGTTTGGAGATGTATAAAAACAAAATAAATCCTCTTGAGATTTATGTTGTGTTTGAATTTTAAATTTGGTCAGATAAAAGAAAATACCAGTGGAAAAGTGTGAATGAAACTAAGTAATCTTCTATAAAAACAAAATAAATTATGTGGTCGGAGAAGTGGGTTTTTTTTTTTTTTTTTTTGTAAATATCCTCTCGCAAGGCATAGAAGTGAGATTTAAATTGTGTTTGAATTTTGAATGTGTTGTGATAAAGGAAAATAGAAGAAAAATTGAATGAAATATAGTTTTTTTTTTTTTTTGTTGGGCATTTGTTTTACTTTTTCTCCTAGAAATTCCTTTTAAATTCAAGATTCATACGGTTCTAGGTTGTGTTTGTATGAAAGATCTGAGAGATTTTGTGGAGAGAAAAAAAATAGTTAAAGATGATATCCAAAATCTAATATCCAAATTTGATCAATGTAACATTATAGTTAAAGCAAAATTGCAACCAATGGAAGCAACAAAATTTCGAAAGATTGATCAACAAACTGGACCCTTCCAAAACACCTTATGATTTTAGAAGCAATGCTACTAGCTTGAACATAATAGCTGTCAGGATTCAAATCCAAAATAAGTCCCACAAAGCTGATACAACCAAGTATTTGTATATGTATGCAAACAAATTCTTGTAAGCGTAAATTGCCACATTGAAATTGCTACGCACTCTCACAGTTCAGCCAGACTTAATCAACAAAACGGTAAGAGTTCTGCACAGCATACAATTAAATCAACAAACCATGTCTCCAGTATTGATTTCTGGTTGCCACATAAAGAAAGCATGTAACCCAATCAACGTGTTTTTCATTTTTTTTATCAATTGGTTCATAAAAAAACATATGATGTCTCCTTGGGCGGTAGGAAGTGAAATCATTCAGGATCAGTCTTTGCCGCTTATACAGTGTATGTAGTAGCATTTATTCTCCAGGAAAGGTCATCTTGTTTTTCTTCTCCTGCAGGGGAACAAAATGAGGAAAGATCAATGGCACCGCTCTAACATGGAGATCTTATTACTTATTTGATAACACATAGTTGATCTTTTTCTTTCTTTCTTTCTTTTTTTTCCATAGAGGACATTGCATAAATGTGTGAGAGTGAGAGAGAGAGAGAGAGCTCTATATGCCACGAAAAGAAGAAATGAAATGATATTAACTTGAACTCAATTTTGGGTGACCCATTCTGACACTGCTCTCCAGACAGTTGTCAAAGATTTCAAACATTTTGGGCACATTTGGTGCACTATTTTCATTTTACAGAAACTAACTCCGAAAAGCTATTCCTCTTTGCCAAATTGTTTAAGAAAATTATCTAGGAAACAATTAAAATTGTTTTCTAAATTTTCAAAAATATGTTTCATCCATATATATATTTTTTAAAATGGGCATTCCCAAAATTTTCATTATTTTGTTTTAAAAACATGAAAAAAAAAATGAAAATGAAAATGATACCAAACGTAACCTTCACCTCTCTCTCCACATCGGGACCAGAAGGCTGGAAATCTAATAAGTGTTCTCACCATGATTGCAAGCCCCTCTTTATGAATGTGTGAAAGTTAAAACAATAATGATGCAACAACTACACTTACACATTCAAGGGCTTAAACCACCATAAAGCAAAATGTTTTTATTATTGATGATATGGTGCTACCCCAAGAAGTGGCTCCAAGCTAATCAGTTGATGCTGTAGGAACTTGTATACTGACTCAGTTGTCATGGCAGCTATTCGAACAACAAGACCTACACCCTGTGCACACAAAACCAATGACTAGCATGTTACTCAGCTTAAATTTATGAAAAAGCTAATAAGTTTAATATGGTCATTCATATATTATAAGTGAAAACATGTAAAGAAAACTTGAAACCAGACCTTGATAAGCAATGAGTAATCATAAATGCACATACACACACACACACACACACACGTAAGTTACAGACATTTTTTGAACTTAGCCAAAAAAATAAAAATAAAAAGAGGCAAGGCAGAGCAAAGCGATTGCAAAGGGAAAATTTCATGGATCAACCCTTAATTTTTGGGTAAGAATGTTCATAATTTAAGCACTAGAGTTACAAACTGTTTTCTAGCATAGAAAGATTGAGCAATCGAAGTGATAGCAGAATATCTATACCAGAATATTGCTACAAAATTACTTTCTGATAGATCATTAAATACGGAAATACCTTGGGACCAAAGACACTGCAGGAAGCAATAAAGGCTGGTTTGGTAAAGCAATGATCAGCATTTGTTTTTCCATAGCGTCCCAAGGCAGTGGAAGGCATATGCAACTGCTCTGACATCATATTCTTTACATATTGTTGAACTTGGTTTTGAACATGCTGCAATTTTGGCCTAAAACCAAGCAGCCACTAGTCTTTAGCTTATTAAAATTCCATTTATCTAAGCTAGACTAAATTACTATGGAAATTAGGGTTACAAACATGCGTCATAACAGGTTAAAATACACAATAACGTACCCACTACCTACCCCAAGAGTATGACCATGGCAAGAACTTGATAATCTTGCATGCGTTCGCCAATAGTAGTAATACTTCCTTGCTCCAGCAATATCTATGTCAACAAGCAAAATCTAAGTGGTAGATATTGTCCCAATTAGACAGACTAATAGTGAAGTGCATTCCAATAACAGGTTTGTTGGATTTGCCTCAATAGGAGAATTGTGTTTTTTTTTTTTTTTTGAAAAAATAAATGGATATTATAAGATGGTCTATTCAGGACTCTCTATAAGCTTGCATAACATGTTAATTCAATAGTGAAGGCAAAATACGTACCACTTTTTAATCGAACAACAATAATTGAAAAACAATAAAAATAAATAACTTAACAACGTCCAAACTTTCCATGTCAAAACAACCTCCTTGGTAACATTGTTGTTAATGAGCACAAGCACATTCCGCACACAACTACTAAAAACAAGTAGCTAAAAGAGGAATATTACTGAGTCAAGAAACAGAGGCTGATCGCCTTCCAAGAAGATTTGGTTGGTGCTTTTGTAAAGTTCAAAATCCCATTTTTCTCCGCTCTCATGGCGCCCACTAGTAATCCAATCAACAACAAGCAAGCTCGAGTCGGATGCAACTTTGAAGACTTGTTTTTGGGAGTACTTTGCAGTGGAGAAACATGTCACTGGATCTGGAATCACAACCAAAAGAGAATTGCTTCCAATTCTTGCCTACTGCATGGCATAAATTAGCCATTGTTACTAGCAACCATTTGTTTTATATATATACAGAGAAATAGAGGCGAATGGGAAGAAGAAACCTATTGTTTCAGATTCAACAGACCTTTTTTTGTTTCTCAACAACAAAACTAACAAGATTCCAACTCCTCATAAGTTCAGCTATATCGACAAATAGATTTACAGACGTGTATCCCCTGCTTTAATCATGATGGATATGATAATAATATAGATAAAGGAGCTTCTGCAATTCATGAAGTGCTTGCCACACCAAAATTAATAAGTGATTTGTTGACTGAAAGGTTCTAAGAAATGCTAATAGTGTTGACGTGTTGTCAACAGCAAAACCACCAGAAACCCAACTCGGAAGCATGGTGTTATCTTTCACAAATATGCAAAACTAAAGCATGCAGATGACCTCACATAAGAGGGAGGGCCATGATGAAGTATAATCCATTTTTCATTCAAGTTCTGAAACCCCAAGAACGTTTATTTAATTTTTTAATATTTTTTTTCATCCTACTAAATGATAAGAGCAAAAGCAAATAATTAACAGAACTGAGTGACGAACATATTTGATCATATGATTCTATAATGGTACCTAAACACAACAAACTCAGGAAATCAAGCTTTGCTATTTTAGGAAAGAACCAATACCTCCAAGACTTGTTCAGAGCACTTTGATTGCACAGACTTGTAGACCTGTATTCAAATTCCAGTAAGAACTTCAAGAAATCAAAACATAAACAAAGCACAATGAATTAATTTATAAAATCACCTTTCTTTGTAATTAATTGATAAATAAATAAGTTCACCTTTGTGGAAGCCTGGGTGGTCAAAACTGTGGTGCAACCATCTCCAATTGTCAAATCACATGAAATAGAATCTCCCTATATTTACCCAACAAACAAGATCAATATCAGTTAGAGAAAAGCCAATTTTGGGAAGTCACAATTTTCGCTAAAAAAACCAGTACACAAAACTTAACTCTTCTCTTTATTTTTTTAGCACTTCTTTTTATAAAAAGTTACTAAAATAGTCAATTATCAAAACAATCCATGTCCGGTGCAAGTCAAAATTGAGGCACATAAAAGCTTTCACTTGTACTAAACATAGACCCACTTGCAACTTTTACCATTTTTTTTAAACTGGAAAAAAAGGATACTCCTTGAAGGCATCATTGCAACCCCTAGACAGCGGTATTATGGCTAGATTTACCCCAACCTAAAGGAAGAGACCACCACCAGAATAAGCGGTATTATGGCTAGATTTACCCCAACCTAAAGGAAGAGACCACCACCAGAATAAGCGGGCAATGCACCAACCCCGGTACAGGAGGCAGAGTCACGAGCGGTACAGCACAGTCAATTTCACCAAATAAATGGAACGCTAGCTGTGTCCCAGGAATCAAGCCCTGCTCACCTGCATTGAAGGCCAGCGCCTTTCCATGCCACCACCACCCCGGTAGTAGTTACAACTTTCACTTGGACCCGACAAGGACCCATCTATACCTCCAAAAAAGTAGCAATTTTAAGTTTGCTCCCAGAAATGCAATTTCCCCAATAAGTTATCAGTTGGAGAGGAAGAGAGAGGAGTTTTATTAGGGAAAAGTACAACTCAAACTATTTATTCAACATATACATACACACACATACATACAAGTTTTTATATAAATTTATATAGATTATGATTGATTGTGAAGGGAAGAGGAGGATGAGATGAGAACATACAGAGACAATGCCACCACCATAGGTGAGGGAGTAAATCCAAACAGCATCGGTTTGGGAGCTACCCACCTGAGAAACAAAACCCATATAATCAAATTACAAGCAAAGGTAAAAAAAATTTTAAAAAAGAAGCTAATACTATAATCTCAGATTGTTGCAATGTATTGGGTGATGATAGAAACTGAAATTGAAATTGAAACTGAATTGAGCACCAACCTTTCTCGGGATGATGAATTTGAGGGGGTATTTGGAGAAACATCGGGTGACCGTTGACTTCCCTCCAACTCTCTCCACTGCCACCTTTCCCGTTTCCATCTCTCTGTCTCTCCCTGCTTGTTTGTGGATTCTATATCTTGCTCAAATGTAGAGAGAGAGAGAGAGCTCTAAAAATAAATTAATGAAAAAATTAATATTGAAATTTTTTACTTATTTAGCATATTTATAATTTTTTTAAAACAAAATTAATGAGTTTTTAGAGGGGTTAAAAAGTTTTTTTTGGGGTTTTAAAACAAAATAGACTTTTTACCTATTGGATTCTGATCTTCCCTATTGCATATTTGCAATGAAGAGGTTTCATTACCTCGTTTAAAGGTGCATATTGTAAATTTATATTTCTATTTTATAATTATTAAATTTATAATAGATAGGATCAAAATCACACTAAATTTACATTTTAATTATGGCGGAACAAAGCCTAAATAAAATAAAACAATTTGAGAGGGTTTAGATATAATATTAAAGCATAAATCACATTGACCTCCTCCAAATTTAAAATAGATATATAATAAATTTAACAATTTTGATATAATTAAACTAATTTTTCTTATAATTGTAAGAATTATTGTAATTTCTCTAAATTTTAAAAAAGTTATTGTAATTTACCCAAATTTAAAATGGTGTTAACCTTTATATTAATGAAAAATTCTATTGTACCCACTTCTAGTTATCACTTTTGTGATATTTGATTATGATATGTTGTTGTGTTAGTTGTGATTAATTATGATATTGGTTATGAGATTATTTTAGCTATGATCGAAATTTTTTTTAATTATACTTTGTTTTTTTTATAGATAAATTACGGACAAATCCTATATGATAGATTCAAATACCTATAGCGTTTATATACTGTGCATCAATAAGTCTTAAAGTATTTATTTTTTCCCAACACTTTTTGGGAGTGTTTGTTTGGATTTTTTTGAGCCAATTTATAACTTTTAGCTTTGGAAAAACTATTTTGAACTGTTTGGTTAAACTTATTTCAAACAATTTTTAATTCTAACAACTTATTTTAACTCAAAAAAACTGATTCTAAGAAGCTGCTCACCCCTTACTTCTACTTATCAGCTTCTGCTGTAAACATGTTAATTTACGGTTATATTTTAGATTTTTTATTTTTTATTTTTTTAAAAATAGAAAAAGACTCAAATAAACTATAAATTATTATTATTATTTTGAAAAATGATCCGTTGCTCGAAATTGGCCCGAACACCCAAAACGACGTTGTTTTGTTTTGTTTTTTCCTTTGTTTCTCTGTGCGTTCAAATACAGAGGAAAGAAAAAAGAGGGAGAGAGAGAGAGAGAGAAAAAAAAGAGAAGAGGAAGAGAGAAGAGAAGGAAGATTGGTGATGGCGGTCGGTGATGGCGCGGTGATGGCGGTCGATGATCGGCAGTGATGGCGGTCGGTGAGAATGAAAGGAAATTTTTTTTTTTTGTTGATGAAGATGATGTTGATGTTGAAGATGATGAAGATGAAGATGAAGATGATGTTCAAAATCTGAAGTTGTTCAAAAAAAAAATTGATCTGGATCTGGATAAAAAAAAAAAAAAGTTGTTCAAAAAAAAATGTTGATGATGTTGATCTGGATCTGCAGACCCAGATCTTATTGATGTTGATGAACAAAAAAAAACTTGTTCAGAAAAAAATTTGTTGATGTTGATCAACAATTTTTTTTTTTTTTGTTGATGTTGATGAACCCAACAGCGCAGCTTCTCCTCCTTCTCTTCTTCTTCTTCTTCTTCTTCTTCTTTTTCTTCTTCATTTTCATCTTCATCAAAACGCGATGAAAGAGAGAAAAAAAGAAAGAAAAAAAAAAAAACCCAAAACGACGTCGTTTTGGTGTCGAGCCACTCTCAAGCCATGCTCTTTCGAGCTACGAATCGGAACTGTATTATTTTTTATGAGAAATGTAGACAAATAGTAAATAATAAAAAATAAAAGTTAATTGAAAAAGTTACTTCATAACTTATTTAACAAACACTACTCAGTAACTTAAATCTATAATCAAACAGTTACACCAAATAGATTAACAGCTTCTAATTAAAGTCACAATCTGTAATCTGTTTTAACAGTTACACTAAACGGAGCCTTTATAGATATTGGTAGATGAAAAAAAAAAAAAGACCTTCTAAGTAACAGGTTGTTTGGGAAGCGATAGAATTTTATGCTTTTTTAAATTGTTTATGAAAAAAAGTCAACGTAGGTTAGAGTTGAAGTGATTGGGTAAAAAAATAATATAACTTAAATAAGAGGTAATGTGACTCAAATAAAAAATAATATCAATTAATGTACACATTAGTGTGCTAATAGATGATATGACATCATTTGTATGAATTTAGATATTTGTAACTTGTATAATAAATGTGGTAAATAATAATACGATTGTGCTACATGCACCAATTAGTATACTTACTAGTATATTAACCAATTAGTATACTTACTAGTATATTAAAACTAGTTATGATATTATTATTGACCCCACTAATTATATAAATTATAAATATAAAAAATATCTTAAATTATGTTATATTATCAATTGGTACACTAACTAGTACATTAGTTAGTGCATATAACATTATTCACAATAATATCATAATATTAATTGGTATACTAATATATATATAGTAATGTTAGAGACTCCAAATTATTCTATCAAAAATTTTATCAAATGTTGGGTGTGAAATCCACACAATGCGAGACCCCTATATAAGACATTTGATAAAACTTTTAATAAAATTTTTGAAACTTAATATTTTTAATAGATATATTAATTGGTACATATAACACTACCGTATTATTTTAACGCATGCGAAACAAATCCTACATAAGTTTAGTGAATAGGACCCGCCGAAATTTTTTATTTTTTTGGTTGTAATGTAAGCCGGTGTTGTTGATTTGGGCCTGACACATTGGGTGAACTCAACTGAGGCCCACTCTGAACAAGGCAAATTCGGGTCGGGTAGAAATATCGAATCGCATTTCATTTCTGTGTGAAGAAGAAAAACCTCAGACCCCTCTCTCTCTCTCTCTCTCTCTCTCTCTCTCTCTCTAGGGTTCACTTCACTCTTCCTGACAAGACGACAGCGAACTCACCTAAGGCATGGTCTCTCTCTCTGTCTCTCTCTCTATATATGTGTGTGTGTGTATCTGTGTGTGTTTGTGTTTGTATCTATTATATCTACATATGCGTTTTTCAATGACTTTCTTGATTGCAATGTTATATACATAAGCATATTTGTAAATCTGTGACGAAATCGTCTGAAATGAATCTCTTTTACGAAACTGAGATACAAGGAAAGCTCTTGAAAATTGGCATGGTAAATGATAATGAAGTTGGGATTTCGTTAACATGGAGTTGGAAAATTGACTACTGAGGAAACCACACAATCTAGTTATTTAGAGCTTGTTTGGGAATTAGCTATTTTAGTGGGTTTTTTTATTTTTTTACCAAAAAGGGGTAAAAAATGAGAGAATGATTTGACAACTTGTTGGTTTTTGACGTTTTGGCTAAAATCTTTGCTTCCCAACACTTCATAATTGCTCAAAAGTCCCTTCTTTTTTTTTTGTTGTTGGGGGGGGGGGGGGGGGGGAGGGGTTGCTTATTTTTGTAATGATTTTTTCAATGGATGGGTTTGATTATCTAATGAAGTTAGTTTTGGTACTCAGTACATGTATTTCTTTCACCATTACTATTGCAATCTTTCAAGTTTAACTCTTTATATATTATCTTTCAGGCTACTGTAATCTCTGAATTTTTCATGGTAGATGTCACCAATCCTTGTTCAAATAACTTTAAATTGTATTTGACATATGTTGATTGTATTCCTACTTCTTTTTTTCTTTTTCTTTTCATCAGATTTTAGGAGGTGGATATGAACCTGTAAGGGCTCAAGAAATGGGTTCTTTGGAGGTCTAATTGCCATTTAAAGGTGGGTGGACTGTTCTACAAATATAGAAATGAGCTTGATCACAAGGGTGAGGCATCACTTACCTTATGGGTTATGCAGAAAACCCATTCTTTCTTCCATGGTTGCACTTAACCCTAGTAACTTAAATGTTTTATCTCGGCACTTTTCACAACCTGCGAGGAAAGAGGAAGAAGAGGAGGAAGAAGTAGAGATCGACCAAAGAAGGCTTCCAGCTGACTATGATCCCACAACTTTCGATCCCACTGAGCACCGCAGTCCTCCAACAGATCGGGTCTTTAGGCTTGTTGATGAGATAGCAGGACTTACATTGGTTGAAGTTGCAGAGCTATCTTCAATTTTGATGAAGAAAATGGGCATGAAAGAGCCACCAATCGTGGGGGTAATGAAACCAGGAGCTGCTGGACTGGCTGGGATGGCTATGAAGGAACCAACAGCAGCCAAGGAGGAGAAGAAACTGGAAAAGACTGTCTTTGAATTGAAATTGGAGTCATATGATGCAGCTTCAAAGATTAAGGTAATCAAGGAAATAAGGAGTTTTACTGATTTGGGTCTCAAAGAAGCGAAGGATTTAGTGGAGAAAACACCTACAGTATTTAAAAAAGGGGTGTCAAAAGAAGAAGGACAGCAAATAATTGAGAAGATGAAAGCTGTTGGGGCAAAAGCCATTATGGAGTGAAAGTAAAATAATCATGGTTATTTGGTTCCCGTCTAAAATTTTCCAAGTCCTGTTACTGTTTCCTAAGAATGCATCAGCTTTTCAGAAATACACTTATTAGATGAAAGACATTGTGGTCTATCTCGATTTAGTTCAAGTGGAGGAATTTTCTAATGGTTGTTGTCTATCATGTTGATCTTTGTGCTTAGAAAATTGAAATTTTGACGATGAATGCCCAATATATTGTCAACATAGGACATTTTGCTGAGTTGTTTTTTTCTTCTAAATCTTGATTATGTGCTTATGTTTCTTAAACAAGAAAGAGAAATAAATTCCAGTGTTTGTTGTCTCCGATTGTTTCTTTTTTCTTCTTGTTATTTTTAATTCCAGAAGTGATGAAAAGAAAGAATAAAAAAACTGAGGCTAGATATTGGACTATAAGCATGGCTTTGCCCAACAGTAAGGTGCAACCTGTTAGTGTCCTTGGTGGCGTGGGATTGAGTCACGGAACTTCTCTAGAAATGCGGGCAAGACTGAGTATATGTTATCTTTCCTAGACCCCGTTTTAGCTGGAGGTTCCTGCACTGGGTTGATCTATAGCTATGAATTTTTAAGTACATATTCTGTCTGTAAATTTTAGTTTCTTTGCATCTTATCTTAACATCGATTTCATGTTTAGATATGGATATGCCTACATTCCTCGTGTCCATTGTAACTAAGCTTATGTTGTGCCCTTTTAGCGTGCTTTGAATACAATTTATTGTAAAAAAAAAAAAAAAATTTGTTTGATGTAACATGCCTAACTGCTAGACTTCTTTAGTGTTCATTTTCCCCCCGCAATTCTTTGGTTCATGAGTACCATTTTCTGTCCTCAATTGAGATGGTCCTACAAAAGTTTAGAGCAATTGTTTTCTCATAAATTTTTTGTGCTTTTTGTGTTTCATGGTGGTTGGAATGTATTTTACTTTCAATCTAGTGCAATGGAAATACTTGTTGAAAAGAGTGAACAATCTAAATGAAACGAAAAACTATTTAGATTACACAAGGGCAGCACGATTTGTAATTACACTCTTCTACTTTCACCTTCTGCTTGAAGAGTCAAGCAGTGCTTAGGTATGTATAGTTTATCAGAGCCTTTATATTACTATTGATCCATACAATCAATGAAGAAGATCCAGGAAAGAGATGTGCCTCCTCAGGAAGGGGGAAGAAAAATTCAATCTAGTTTCATTTGGTAGTTTGACCCAAATTTGCTTATCATTTAACTTATATTTGACATAAAAATAAAAATAAAAAAACTTATATTTTGCATGTCATTATTGGTACAATGCACAGAAAGTGCAGTATAATGTAACTGTATAATGATGACACACTTGGCAATGCCTCAACATCACACTATGAGCTAAAACTGTTACGTGAAACTAGGTAGGATTTTTTGGACCAACTTACCTAAGCTATGTATAATTATTATTTTTTTATTATATTGAAAGTGCTATTGTTTGATGCAGCAAAAATAACTTAAATAAGTTGAAAAAAATTAGTTATTTGGAAGCTAGGAGGGGTTGTTTTACGCTTTTGCTTTGTGATTATGAATTTTTAATTTATAATAAGATGCACTAAATAGACCTGATAAATTCTGCTTTTCATCCTTCAGAGAGAGATAAGCAAAACAATCCATTGGGTTCATGATTTATAACACAAATCTTCATGTGCATATTAACTAAATTCTACATATGTACAGCGATAATTGGTACCTAAGAAATACGGACACTTCTAGGGAGGCAGCGTGTTGTGTTCTAGGGATGACCATTTTAATCCGATTTGTGGGGGGTCTGCCCATACCTGCCCGAATGGGGCAGTTAAAACCCACCCTGACACTTATGTGGGGCAGGGGTAGATTATGTTTTGATCACCTGTAACAAGGGTAGGGTGGGGTGGGACGAGGTGGGTATTGCCTTCCCCAATCCAAACCTAACCCGATATAATTAATAATATATTTATGTATATATATATAATATAATTAAATATAAGAAAATAATATTAAAAGTGTGTGGTTTTGTTTAAATATAAATAAATAATAATTTTAAAAGTCACGCTGTTTATATACATGGAAATAAGGAAAATTATTTAATGTGCTAAGGATTTAAATGATTCTCAATTTTTTTTAGCTATTTGAAATGTGGTTGGGTATCTTCTGGTATCGGGTATCCATAGCGCGGGGGGAGGGCAGGGAATGGCAAACCCGCTTCAAACCCATTCGGTGGCCATCCCTGCCTATGTCGGACACCAACACTCTCCGAACACTTTTAAAAACGTGTCCGACACTTCTTCAACGTGTCTTAATTAAAAATCATATTCATATTATTGGATACTTCACCAACAGTTCGTAGACACTTCTGTAACATTTCTTGAAGCCTTCGAACATGTCCTATGTGTCCTATGTGATGAATCATTCATAATAATAATGTTTTTCATTCTTCAAAAGACAACTTATACACTTTAAATATGTTTTGAAATATTTATAAGATGAATATATCATGTGTATTATAATCTATGAAGCATGTGTACTATGATAAACAAGATGCACCTGTACTGAGTATTTTCCGACGTATGAAACTTACGTACCGGGTACTGTAGACGCGCCCGAACGTCCCGGGAGGATGACTCTCGTTCTGTTCATATTGGGCTTGCTACAGTTCGGACTCAAATTGTTATGGTTCTTAATCTGAACCAAAGAGTCCAAATCCTGCATATCGTTTTGAGAAAAAACAGATTTTTGAAAGAAGTGCCAAACATGGACTGCTTTGCCAGATACAGAGTCGCCACCTAAATATTTTATTTTGGGGGATTTAGGAAACCCTGACTCGGTGCCAAAGGCCACGTGTCCGTCATCACCAAAGTTGCCTTGGCTCGGGAACTTGGGTACGATTGGGGAAGGTCAACTATGAGCACCTCCTCTCCCCTGATCAAAGATCGGCCTCTACTAGCCGTGATATCTTGTTTTGAAAACATTATATGCTCTTATTCCGGTTATTAGCCTAGATTTACTATGTTACTGTAGACACCCCATTTTTGACCGTCCTCAAGACTTGGACATCACCACTGGAACACTTGGTGATTACCCTTGTTTGTGTTCGTCTTGAGTTCCCGGAGGTCTCGGTTGCGCGCCTTGCCTCAGGATCTCTCGACTCGACCGTTTTGTGTCTGGTTTTGCACCAAACACTTGTGTTTTGCCTTGGAGGGGCAGGGAATGCCTTGTGAGGCATCCCCACACATCACCGACCATGGCTTGAGGCCACCGGCCAGTGATTTTGTGCCATCGGCAATGTATATTGCCGGTCGGCACTCTTTGTTGCCGGTCGGCCATTTATTTTGCCAAAATGGCAATTTTGAATGGCCGATCACTGTTCATCTACTTTTAGTAGATATTTTGTGCCAGCTGTGATAGCTGGCACCCACTCTGTTCCTCTCCATACACGTGTATGGAGGGATTTCCCTCTTGGATGGCTTGTTTTGGAAGCCTTACAAGAGGGAGTTGCCTATAAGAAGAGGGTTCCTCTCTTGGCATTAGGGTTAGACAACATTTTTAGAGAGATTTGACATTAGGGTTAGGAATTTGTATCTATTCCATCTCTATATTTCCCCCTCTTGTTAGTTTAGTGTGTGTTTGGTCTTACTTTTGCACACAAACACCCACCATTACACCTTTTCTTGGTTATTGAGGGCCAAAGGAGTGTTCTTGGAGTTCTTGAAGCTGATTTCAACCTAAAGAAGCTGCTAGAGCTCCATTGTTGAAGAGAGTCTTCAAGGGTAAGAAGCTTGCTCCTTTTTACCCCTTTCTTGCATTGTATTTTTTGCCTACCTTACAACTATTTTTGTGTTTAGTGTATAACATAAAAAAGTTCTGTTTTTAGGCCCTCTAAATAGTTGTTTAAGGTTGTTTCAAGCTTTGGGGTTGTTTGACCCCTCTTAAGCCTTGTAAGGCTCCATTTTGTGCCATTTTGGGTAAGCTCCGAGACCTTGGTGTTTGGGCCTCCTCACCACTGAAATCTTGAGGGATTTCTCTTCAAGGGTAAGAAGCTTGCTCCTTTTTACCCCTTAATCAAATCCTATTTTTGCCTACCTTACAACTATTTTTGTGTTTAGTATATAACATAAAAAATTTCTATTTTTAGGCCCTCTAAATAGTTTATTTAGAGTGTTTTGTGATTTGAGGTTGTTTGGCCCCTCTTAAGCCTTGTAAGGTTCCATTTCGTGCCATTTTGAGTGAGCTCCGAGACCTTGGTGCTTGGGCCTCCTCACCACTAAAATCTTGAGGGATTTTAGAGGTGAGGATGGTGCCTTGAGGTCCCAAGAAGGAGAGAGCCACCCCCTCTCCTTGTTGTCCTTGAAAAGGACCATTTTTTGGCCTCTTGAGGGAGCACCATGCTTAGGTTCATGTTGACCATGCCTTAGCTGATTTTTTTGCTTACTATGTCATAATATGCCTCTGTTTTTAGTTGGCTTTGGTACACCATGCTTGCTTAGCATACATGCCTTGTAATGCCATGATTTGGTTCAACATGTGCCTAGCATTTAGACTACCATGCTCATGTGTTTTGGCCTAGCTTTGTGAAGCTTTTATGCTTGTTTTAGTATGCTAAGGGACTGTTTTTGGTCATTTGAGTCATCCATGCTTTGCTTTGTATAGCTACCATGCAAACTCTCTTGTATGCCTTAAGCTTTGGCCCTTCTAGCATGCCATCCTTGCTTTATTCCAGTGGTTTGGAACCACTTGACATGCTATTTTAGACCTCATGATGTGTCCATGTGCTTACATTTGATCCCCCTTCAATGTGTTTAAAGGTTGTTGCCTTATGCCCCTTGTTTAAGCTTTGGAGTATGCTTGTATTTTTAGACCACTTAGATGCCATCTAAGTACATCCTTGGCTTTGTTTAGGTCTGTATTAGACCTACTTTAAGTCCCTTTGGCCTTGTGAGGCTTGGTTGACCTAGCCTTGTTTTACCTCCCCTTTGGCTTGCCTTAAGTCTTGGACCATTGTTGCATGTTTTGATTGCTTTGTTTAGTTGATTTGACACCATCCTTAACATGATTTTCAGAGCTTGGTATGTATTCCATATGTCCATGTTTATCTTCTTTTAAGTGTGCTTAAAAGTTGTCTCTTTGGTGCTTAAGTGTTGGTCCATTTGCATGCATGTTTGTATGTGTATTTGCCCCTCATTCCATAGCATTTTGGCCACTGTTTTAGGTTAGTTTGAGGGCTGCCTAAATTAGTTTAAGTCCATTCTTGCATGTTGTGACATGCTTACCTTGTGTGTTGATTGCATGCTTGGCCTATCACGTGTTGTGG